TTGAAGAGTCCACTCCCATTCCATCTGCTTTCTCAAATTCCAAGCACTTCAGTGTGATACCTCTTCCTCTCCTTTGCAATCTAGGTAGCCTTGCTGGGTTCAAACATGGTGCAAACAATCCATGCCCTCATGTTTACTTTCGCTTTCATCTAGAGAGGGAGAGAGAGAAGACACATCGGCCAGTTGGCTTCCTGAAGGTAGGCTTTCACCAGTTGGCGTCCTTTCGCCTCTCCGATTCCAGTGAGGAATAATTTTGTCTTCATTTTTTATATTTTGTTTGTGCTTTGAAGTTTCTTTAGTGGTTAGATTTGTTTTAGGATGTAGGGTTGCTAGCCCTATGCCCAACCTACCCTCTTTACCCGGGCTTAGGACCGGCTAGTAACTAGTGAACTAGTTAACCAGGCGAGGTTAAAGTCTGGGGTGATGCCGCTAATGAATTATTTATTATACCTGCATGATTATAAAAAAACTGTTTGCTTGGATGTGCCGAAATTAACTACGATAATTCAAATGACGTTACCTCTACTCTTGATAGTGGTTTAGTAAAAAACAACAATAGCGCCATTACACTGAATATCACGTGAACCTTTTATATATAGATACTACGACATACATAGAACTTAAGAATTATTTTCCAAAAAAGCAGAATATCTGTTTAATAGTAGAGTTATCTACTACAGTCTTAAAATTCGAAGTTTTTCACATGTGACAGTTTTTATGTGAACACTTTACCGTGTTCGCTTCACGCGCCTGTTTTGCAAGAAAATGTTGTTGAAGTATTATTCAAGTTTGTAAGCTTTTTACGCATCCAGAGTTTAGAAAACATGACTGTAGATATCTGTCTAGCAGTTGATCAATAATTCGCTCTTACGAATCACCATGTCAAAATAATTGCACCTTAAAAATGCTTTGAGCCTAATTGATGAGTATTAAAGATAGTCGGGAATCGGTGTCATTCTCCAAGCCATTAAATGTTCTCATGAAAGATTATTTTTGTTAAATAGAGTAATTAAAATGGATACCTTTTTTGGTGTTTCCACCAGAACGGTTTCCACATATTCATCTAAGCATAATGCATTTCGTTGAATTTTGCAAATAACAGTACACTTGACTGATATGATGAAAAGATCAAATATACCTTGCGTTACAAGTGAAGTCTTTCAGAAACATGAGTGTTGCTTAGGTAATAAGGAGGCAAAAAATCTTCAGCGTATCCCTGATGCTAATGACTGTAGGCTAAAGTAAGTGTTGATACATATCTAAGAAAAGTGCACTATCTCACTGAAATTCCAACCACACAATGAAGGGAAGTGGCTTACAATTTATGTGTAGTACATCACTCGATCGACTGATGCTACTTCAGCAACATCATAACAATTTTAAAGAACCTTTAGATTCTCAAATATAGTCATGAGGAGGAGCTACCGATTCGGTTATTTTAGGGTTTCAGAACTCGAAGAACCAAAGTATTATTGTACTATCAAGTTGTTCTTCAAGACCGTCGTCCCACCGAAGAAAGCAGTTCACTTAAACATGTCCAGGCAAATAAGCGATTAAAAACATCTTATGTATGCACAGTAGAATCTAATGGTCCACGTAAGAAGAGTAAGAATATTAGTGCTATCTGCGTTTAAAATAAAATGTGTTTGAAAACTTTATGGGAAAGTAGAAGAAATTAGGTTAGTCGTGATAATTTTTTTTATTGACTTTAATGCTTATTTAAATACTTGTTTCTCTGAATTACAAACATCTGAACTCAAGAACTCACGCAGTTTAGCTCAGAAAGTTCATCAATCAAAAGGCTTATGAAAAAAAATACCTTTTTGCTGATATTTTTCTGTTTTTCATCTTTGTTTCTAAATCATGCCTTTAATGATGAATCAGAAGCTTGAGTTTAATTTCATGCCTGTACTGCTATGCCTAAATCTTGAACAACAAGAAAGGCTCACCCAAGCTCTCCTTTTTACCTTTACAGCCCAAGGTTCTGACACATCATTTACTATGTAAATACATGCATCACGAAGAGCAAAAGTTTTTTAATTTTTAATCACTAAGATAAGTAAACCAGTCACTCATATCTTTCGCGACCGAATTTCTCAATTTTGCTAAATACATTATAGACTTAAAGTCAGGCATATGGAAATTTGTTTACTTTAGGTACTCTGATGTGTCTATTTTTTGTAAGTAATTGAGATTTCAGTAAGAAAAATCATTTCAGTTAGTTTTTGACTGACTGTTTACAATACTTGTATCCGCAGAACATCGAATGCAAGAGTAGGTGGCCTTTAAAATTCACACTACATCAATATAGACCACTGCTTCAGTTTCAGTCTGGACATTTCTCAGTTGAAAAATATTTTTAACCTATTCCTGAATTGACCTTATGTGCTTATAAAACCCATATGTTTCGTTTCAATAAAGGACTATTTGTTTAAATTATGTTGTGATTTATCAACACAGACTCAGTTCTTTAGAGCAAGACGTGTTAAAAGAATATTTCGCTTGCCCTTATCTTAGAAAGATTAACTGTTTCCACATTAGATAATGAAAATAAGATTAATCATAGAAGAGCTGGTTTTCATCCTTTCATGCTCAACTAAATCCCACAACTTTAGGCTACATATATTTCAATCAAACGTTCTTCTGATCATCTGCCATCAACTTGGTATTTTTCTCTGTATAAGTTTACTGTTCTATCTTGTGTTATAAGTGTTTCCCGTAGACTCTGCAATATTGCACTTGGAAAGATATATAATGGTCACATGTAGAATTCTTTTCTTTAGAGCCAGCTGTTGATGCACACCGAAGTATTGTTTAGTTAAGAAAAGTTTGGGGAATGGTTTGGTTTGAAAATAGTCATATTTCAGGCAGTGATGCCAAGCAAAGAATTATAGGAAAAGTGAAAAAAACTGAAACAGCAAACGTAGTTGTCCGTGAAAGAAATAGTCACACAAAACTTTGGAGTTTAAAAGCTGATATACAAAAGAAGATTATCAGACTGAAAATTGTCAGCAGACTAATTGGTCCACATTGACAATTTTCATAGGTGAATAGTTCCTCAGCTGCTCATATGTGGCATCAGCGGCGTTTACCCTGAAAAATACTCAGTAAAAATCACAAGTTGTGACGTCTGACATGAAAGTGTCACGAATTAAAGAAATAAAAACTGAAAAACTTGAACGGGTATAAACAGCTCATACTGATCTATAAACTTTACTGACAAGGTCAGAGTGACACAAACGCTTGCTCGACTGGAGCTAAGCTCATCCACTGCGAACCAGACTGAATCCACCTTACACAACCAAACTTGTTGGGTTCTGATTTAAATGAGTGGAATGATCATTCGGTGTTTAGACCATTCTGAAATGGCTAGCCGAATCTTCAGATCATCTTCAGTGGTTTCTAATTACGCATATTGTAAAGTGCTTTGTTTCGCTAGAATATAAGATTCGTTTGGTCATACTAAGTCTTTGTTGCTTCCCCAGAAAACCGTATTACATTGCATTAAGCATTTTGAAATTATAGGTGTAAAAGACTCACTTCACCATTTTAGTAATAAATTATTTTATGTTAGTTTGTTTGTTGGATACTACTTACACTGAAACAGTATTATTGACTGGAATACTGTGTTGTTCGTAGTTACATTCAAGGAAATTCCACAACAATCACACTCCCTTTATCTTCTATTTCATTTCTCGTTTGCATAATAAAACTTTTGAACCTTCCAAAACAATCATTGAGTCATTTGTACCGAATCTTTTAAAAGTTGATTTAATAAACAGAATTCCAAAAAACTCACTATGGCAAAATATACGATGTCAATGAAAAGAAAACAAATAAACAAACAATGTGAACGAAAATAACCTGAAAAAGGGTTCATTTACACTGACAAGATTAGCTCGGGCTTGTCAGAAATTATACCCTGAATCTTGTTAGGTTTAATGCCCAATATCTTTGGGTTCATTTCAAAACCAGTCAACATTTTTTCAAACTAATTCAAGGAAACGTTGCTAAACAGCAGACGGAAGCTTTTCTTAAACTCGAACCCTCATAAAATTACAAATAATGAAATCTGTTAAAATTAGCCTTGGAATACACATTTTGAAAACATGTGCTTATTTGTTCTCTGTGATATACTGGTCCACGTAAGCTTTCACACGTGTGTTTGTTTCCACGAGTTAAAAGGTCATGCTACATTGGAATGAGCTTGGAGAAGTGAGTTTATTGATGTAAGAACTACCTAAACTTGTTTAATATAACTACTTTATTTGCCTTTAATGCATCGGTATTACTGTGACCTCAAGATTTCTTGGGATGCCAACAGAAGTCCCTTCGTTTATTCTTTTCTATGTTATCAATTATGATACAAAGTCTCTGTTTCCTATTTCCACTCTCATCCTTTAGCTAATAACTTGATATACTGTTATATCTTCCTTTATGTCATCTCACCAGCTGTAGGTACTGAAACTATAGAAAACAAAAATTAAATGCTACAGTGGAAAAGGATTCCTGCTTATAGCATTTCTTTTATCACTGAGTACAAAAAATATTTCTGAATGATTGGTTGTAACATGGACTTTGCTTTACTTGGTAGTTGGATGGAAGCAATCGGTAGGAAGCCCTGGACCTAGGTTTCATGCTTGTTGGCACCCGTAAGCAAGGTGTATCTGCAAACTCGACGGAACTGATGTCCCCCAATGTTGTAGTCACCGACGTTACCACTAAGCTATTTGGGACGTCAGTACCATCAAAATCGCAGATACACCTTGAAGACGAGTGTCAATGAGAAAGAAACTTCGGCCCAGAGCTTCTTGCCGGTTGCCTCTATTCAACTAGCATCTAATAAAGTGTACCGCTATATCGAGCTGCCTAGTCTGGTCGCCACAGTGGCAAATGATTGGCGGAATTCGATCGCCAAATAGGACTAAATAACATGAAATCAGTTACCCTCTAGTGACAAATCAATGTTTTAGGTTTTTTATGTCACTGGTTACAAAAATATGCTTATCAATAGATCGTACTCTAACACTCTGCCAACAAAATTAACTGGTAAACGCTTTGTTGATTACACCACGGTATGTCGTAATCCAAAGTGTTTACATAATAAACATACTGTTTGGTCCCATTTATCTAAACCTACTTTACTATAATGATGTGAAATTCGAAAACATAGGAGGAATAAAATGAAATAGGAAAAAAACTAAAATATATGTTCCTCACAAGAAAAAAATTTCTGGCGAATATTATTCATTTTAGTAACTGATTCTGTAGGAATAATGCTATCTCCAGAAAAGCTGTATTACTATTATTTGTTGCTTGGGTTCCTAGTAGAACATATGGTGCCAGCAGCACGTCAACACTTCATTATCTTCTCTCCAGTCTTTCAAACATACCTCCAACACTGCCCACAAGCTTTCATTTATTCCTCAACCCCATCTCCTCCATATCACCCTCACCTAGGACAACAAACTCCTCGTTTCTCATTCGGGTCCCAATCGAGGGTCACGCCTGATACGTGATGACCTCAATCCGTCTTCTCAGTGCATGCCCAGTTCAATCAATCTCCACTTCCTCCTACCAACTTGTTGGGCGATGATTTCTTGATTCGTTCGTTGCCAGTCATCCAGCCAGACAGCCAGCCAGCCAGCCAGACAGACAGACAGACAGACAGATACAGTCCCTCCTCGCTCATTCTTTCTAAACATCTGATCAATCTTCAGTATCGAGTGAGCAAAGGCGGCAGTTGGTAACGTGATATATGTCTGCAGATTGTTGGAAATGCATTTTGTGACACACCAAGTTTCTGAAACACCATATTGAAGCATTGACGTGACTGACATTGGTGTTGAAAATGCAGATCTTGTTCACATTTTATGCTGAGTGCAGCTCATTCCAGTGAGGAGGATCTACACAGTGATTTCAGATTGATAAAGGAAAACCAGTCTGGTTGTCTTTCTGATCCTGGCTTTCACTCCTCATCTGTGCCACCACCACCACCACTGCGTGTAACTGACACGAGGATGCCTAGGTTAGTAGATGAGAGAGACAACTTCTTCAGATTTCGCCCATCCACGGTGATTCGTGCTTCCTCTTGTTCTTGATGTTTTCGTTGTCGTCGTTCTTGTTGTGGTTGTTGGTTGGCTATCTTCATCACCTATGTCTTATCTACATTCACCTGTAGGAAGTCTCGTCTTCGCTGCCTCACCTCTTCTCTCAACTTGTCACTCTTCGTCTGTAGATCTTCGCGTTTGTGTGACAAGACATTAGACACATATCATCATCATCATGATGGGCGAAATCCAGATCTGCTTCTGGGGTCTTTTCATCGGTGCAGCCAGCGTATGCCTATCTTCTCACAGCTTTTCACTGTTTCTTGCATGATCCAGCTCAGTCCAGTTGAACAGTCAGGAAGATCATCGGTGACAGTTGGCAGCCTTTTCTCACTCCTAGTTTCACCTAGTTAACTATTTCACTGTTTACTAGACAGTCCTAATATCAGATAAAGCGGGAAGGTTTGGGATAATGCTAGAAATCCTATCCGGTAAAACAAATCCAAATGATAAAGAGACTTCACACATGAAAGCTTTACAAGTTTACAGTGTTTTTACTTCAAATTATACACATGATATATAAGCTCTTCGAGTGTTGTTCGTCAGGCAAAACCAGAAGACAAGTACATAAGACTTAATGCACGTACTAAGAGACATAAGAATTCTACAATATCACATTTAACTCGTATTCTGTGCGATGATGCAACTGATAGAAATGAACTAACCCATAAAATTTTGTTTTTGAAAGTCAACTAATTAAAGAGTTCTGTTGTCTACGTGTTATGAATCTAGTTACTAGTGTGACCTTTTACCTAAGTTAACTCTGCGTTTTCAAAAGAGTTGCAAACGCAGTAAATAATAAATCTTTTACATGCATAATTTTTTTCTTCATTTTTTTGTGTCTACATATAAAGCGTTTTTGTCTAATTGATGCTATATGCCATGCTGCAAATTCTGTATAGTACTTCCAAATTGTCAGTCAGAATAAAGACATCATTAAGATTATCAAAACGGTGTCTGAACATTTGTGACATTACATGCACCTTTAATAAAGTATTATTCGTTAAAATAACACGTCTCTTTAAGTTTTTTCAGTTTTTCCTACTGTGTATCGGTTGGACAAATTAAATGCAGCTCTCAAATGTATTTATAGCTAATTGCATAGTCACAATAGAAGAATATTATTCTAAAAAGTTCAAGTTTTTGAAATTCCTCAAGAACATTGTATGCTGTTAGCCTTGTTTGTAAAAATGCGTCCACTGTAAATTGCATTTCAACCGTTATAGTGACACAACTAAATTCTGTAACTAATGTTATTCTAAACTCTGTCAATGAAAACTATTTTTAATACTGAAATTCTTTTGTTTAGTTAAATGTAGACTAACAAAAATCACTAGAATTTTTAACCCAAATAACTACTATGGAATTTACTTAACGGCTAATGAAAGTGCTTGGTAAATTAACTTCATCACTACATAAATGATTACATTACATTCGTTGTGTATACCAGTTTACATGCGTGTGAGGTAAAGCACACTAGAGGGAGCAATGGATTTATGAAATCGTTGACGCTGGAATACCCCTCAGTGGTTAAAAATGATAAAGTAGCTTATGGGAGATGAACACTTTGGTAGCAACCAAATATAACACTACATTATTACTCACTGTTTGGGTTTACTGGAATGATTGTGACTGAGATTTTCCATTCAGGATTTCAGCATCATATCAGATACATTATTTTCTTTTCGTCAGAACATAAATTTTTGACAGAAGTACATTTATATATGTAATTCAAGCGTAAACTTGAACATTATTAGTAAACGCTATCTTTCCCATAATCTAATTTATGCATGCACACTTCTTTGTTTCAAGTGTAAGCAATTCGTCTGCTTCAAAAGAAATCATTAATCACTGATAAACACCAAATAACCTTGGCTTTTTGACAGCAAATTAATAAAAGCAAAGAAAGACCATGGAGTTAAGTTATAAATAATTAGTTGACTCTTTAGAATAATTGAAACATGTAAGAATTATTCAACTATGTTTACCATCAATCATTTTTAAATTTCATTGACTAGTTTTGATATTCATGAAGAGAATATAAAAGGTAAGCAAGATATTCACCACATGGATTTCGCATTCTAGTTTTCTGTAAAAATAAACTGCAATGCCACCCAAGTTACATTTAATGATAAATGGTAAGAGAGAGAGAGAGAGAGATAGCAGAAGCACCGTTAATAAATGTATAACCTACAGCTATCATATTTTATGTAGTGAAAAACTTTGATTATTTACCATGGAGTAAATAGGAACTTGCCAATCCTAATTAAGATTTTCACATCAATTCCATGTGACCATCTTAGAAGGCTATAGATACTGGCAAATATAATTGGAAATAGTCTTGAGAAACAAGAGATTACAATCGGATGAAAAGTATGTTTAGATAGATAGAGTTTCATTGACTATATGAATAGATATTTAAGACACCTTAGGTTCACACAGAAAACAGTATCAATAAAAAACAAAAAAATAAGTTGAAAAATTATCGACTACACTTAATTATTTCTATGAAAGTGGTAATAACCAAATTTATCATTCAAACTGGGAATGATTTTTATGTGTTATCTAAATGTTCCGGTATTATGAGAAAAAGAAAAACAGTAGTCTGAAGAATATCTATTCATGACAGTTCATATGAACAGTAATTTATTTTATTTCGAATGCCTGTTGATAAAGACTGACCAATTAACTGTGGTCTGTTTTCTATATCGATGATTAGTGAAAAGTGTTTCAAATTAAATCCCTTATCCGAAGAGAAAGGCTGAGAATTATCCTCAATGATTATCATGCACTGAAACCTTCCACACCTATTATGATTCAAAAGTTGAAAAAAAGTAAGTAAAGGTTTTAATAGAACCTTTTACCTAGCGTTGTTGTTCACCGACTTGTTACTAAATGCCATAGATCTATTAATTTTCAAGAGATAAACTCATAAAACATGACCAACAGTGACAGAAACTGCTTTTATGTCGTGAGCTTTAAATTTATGTTTTTAATCCACTGAAAGTGAAGAGGTTTTTAATGCATATATATATATATATATATATATGTATATATATAGGAAACTGCATTTTTCGCAGCTAAACGATTAGCGAATCATCTGCATACGCGTTTATGACGCTTACGGATTATTTAATAGAAAGCTCATTCTTCGAAAATATATTTGGTTCAAGCTTACTTTGAATAAGAAAGGCGAACCAATATAATTGCCGGCTGATTGATTTCAGTGCGTTTCATTTCAACTTACAACTATTACACAAATATGATTTTGTAAGTAAGTTCTACTGAGTGGTTAGCGTTAATTATGTCATCACTTGTGTTTTATGACTAATTTGAGTCACAGTATTGTTAAAATTTGATGAGTAATTGAACTTAGTTTTGATATTCTAGTATACTGTCCTATAAATATCAAGAAGATTCAAAGCGAAAAAGTAACCCAGTTGCAACGGGGTTAGAATAACTGCCCTCAGATTATTTACTAGCCACTTGATTAAATTGTCCACATTAGCCAAAATTAATTGTATTATCCACTTAGAATGCGAAGAAGAGAAATTCAGTTGTACACTCTCCATTACCTTAACTTACCAGCTGTAAAAACATAGCTTTAATTGAATTGGGCTAAACTAGAGTGTGAGGTCAGTTGACTAACTAAGGTCTAGATTGGTTGCGGTGTACAAAAGTGATTTGATAATTATTTAGTTCAAATTACTTTTCCTTGAATATAAAGGAAAATGTATGAAGCTCCATAAACAACAATAAGTCATTATGTATGCTGATGCAGCTGAAGAGTTGAAGCCATACTTTCATAAAACAATGAATTTGACTGTGATGTTTGACAATTTTTCTATCGTACAGTTAAATATAAGGTTTATCAGAAATATAGCTCATTATTGTTCAATAAATACTGTGTGGTGAAATCTCTAGTTTATAAAACCTGAACTAATTCTTACGTCTATTTTATTTAG